CTTAGTTCAAGGAAAAATCGAAAATTTGATAAACAAAAAAAATAAATTTCGGGTTGACGACCCGAGTGGAAATTCTGTTCAGGTCTTGATCAGAAACTGATCAAGTCCGATCCGGAATTCTGATCAGGCGTGTTACGCCTCTGCCTTAGGTTTTTCCAATAGGGGACCCGTGTCGTCACAAGGTAATGAGGGGCAAAAGGGAGGGTGAAAATGTGAAGGTGAAAAAATGAGATCTGCTGATCAGGAAATAAGAACTTTCTGACCCTCACTTTTTGACCCTAATTTTCTAAACCTTATTGCAAACCCTTTTTCTCTAACCCTCACTTTCAGATGCTCAATTTGTTACCTCTGTATTCCTCCCTTTTGGCTGTTATATTCTGATGCTTATTATTCGACGCTTATATCTTAACCCTTATTTTCTGACCCTTACTGTCTTTATATTCTGACTTTTCATTTTTTACCCTTATATTCTGATCCTCATTTTTGGACTTTAACATTCTGACCCTCCCTATTCGTTCTAAGAATTATGTAATTTGATCGAAAATTCGTCTTTGATTACGGATAAATGAACGTAAAATGCGGAAAAAATCATAATTTACGAATACGAAATCGTGAATTCCATTTATATAATCGTAATTTACGGCGATTTTGAGCGTAATTTATGCATTAATTTCAAGCGTAAAACACGCTTCAGAAAGCATTAAAGGGGACTTCTTCAACGCAATTTACGTTTAGATTTTCTGTGTATAGTACTCGGAGTGTCATAAGTCCGCGTCCGGTCCGGGGTATAAAAATTTTAGAATAGAATTTTAGAATAAGAATTTATAGGGCTACATGTGCCATGCATAGGGGGATATGCAGGGGATAATGCAAATACCTAAGAGAGCAATGATATCTATATTTTTTAAATTAGTTTTCCATTGGAAAGAGCTTTACAGTCGAAATTCACTTTTTGGCATATAACACGGCCTCCTAGCTTTCTCGAATTCTTTCTTCCTGGAAACTAAAAAGTTGGTTTTTGTTCGATTAGGGGTTGCAAAAAAAATTCCCCTTCATTAATTTAACCGTTAAATTAATCAAGTCATGGTTCCGGTTTCGGTTAGCAACAAACAATTACAACGATGGAAAATGATAAGACTCAATTCAGAAATTGCATAAGTAGAAAATTCAAAAATTAATTTTGTGCAATTTTTTAGTTTGAATATCATCAGTTTTTTACCATCATAATTGTTTATTGTTGACCGAATCGTAGCCCACAAAAACGTCATTAATTTGAGAGATGGCAGTCAGAAACGTTAGTTTCTTTTATTTCATCCGTGAATCTTCGAAAGAAAATCTTACACACCAATCTCGGAAACCAGTGTATCCACACAGATAAAAAAGATTAGTTATTGTCAACGAATGGATTTGGTTGGATCTCAATAGTTAACAAATGCATATTTGCGGAGCCTTGTTTGACTCGACTTTCACCTTTCAAGTGAACCATTCGCTAACTGTTAATGAATATTCATGTAGTCATATTCAACTCTACCATTAGATAATAATTAACGAATCTCGTTTGGAATAAATAAGTCATTATATCAGAGCATTGACGTTTTCTGGTGAATTACCGTAAGATTTCAAATGCCTCCTATGTGTATACTCATAGAGGAAACTCACTAGAAGTCTAATGCAACATAACCATCGATGGGTACCCCGGTAAATTATGCATGGTAGGAATTACCATTGTTGACGATGGGAACAAGCTTGTAGAAACCCTGGGTTCTCGAAGCGCAGAGGCTCAAGCCTCAGCCAACCCTGTTCTCATTGTCGATATTAGGCAGAAATTCACAGGGTCATCTACGAGGGTCAATTCAGGCCTAGTCGAGCCCTTGAGTATTAAGAATATTATTAAAAATTCCTCAATTATAAAGTCCACCTTTCATTGACTTCCCTAATTCTTGCACTAATGACCATCACTTGACGATGGTGAAAACTTTGTTGTTCCTTCTACAAAGATAATCATAAATATCCGTCACGAGGTTGCATAATTATCATCATGATTATAATGATCCTCATCTGTAATTAATTGATTAATGGATTCTGACCTCATTAATACGTCGAATCTATTCTTTTATTCAATTCCTCATCATTTTATTCATGGATAAACAGAAGAACAGCACGTTGTATTTTTATACTCGAGAAAAATATCTCGTCGTAAGAATTTTCAGATGGTCTAGTGGTAACGCGCTGGACTACGGATTAGAGTCGAATCCTCCGAGTAACAGCAATTTTTCGAATGTTCAATTTTATTGTATTCCAGTTACAGGTGTGCGGATAATGTTTAAGTACAAGTAATTAATAAAAAATAATAATGATAATATTTTTTTAAATCCATTGTTAATTAATCAATCATCACAATTAACGCTTATCGGGTTATCGACCGTTACTAACGGTCCTACCTCAGTCTTTTTTATGGAGTTCTTGAAATCGATAGAGAGGCTGATGAAAGAATCCGACATCATTCAAAGTGACTATAAATAATAATATAATTAGTTAGAAAGAAGCGCGATTAGTGATGCCGCGAGAGACTTCACGAGACAATACTTTGGGGAGATCATGTCGGTCTCAATGAACATGGAAATCCTTGGTCTCTTCTAAGACTCAAAATACGCATAGTATCGACTCCTCTCGTGATGACTCCGCGTCAATTTATCTCATCTCGGTCTCAAGTTTTCCGTGTTTTTAATGTAAAATCTCAGTGTTTGTCGTAGTTGGCTTCGTCTCCGTTTTCTACATATACAAAACGCAAAAAACTGGCAACCGAGATGAGATAAATTAACTCGGAGTCATCACGATAGGAGTCGATACTGCGTGTTTCGAGACTCAGACGAGACAAAAATTTCCGTATTCACTGAGACCGGGACAATCCCCCCAAAGCATTGTCTCGTGAAGTCTTTCGTGCCACTACTAAGCGCGATTGAGCCTTTAAAATTTCTTAATTCAATGCTTGTATCAGGGCTTGGCATTAACCCTTGTTCGAGTCTTAGAAATTAAACCCCAATTCAGATTATCATTTTGGGCCTGAATGAGGACTGATTCAAGCTTGGGCTCCAGGTCTGCACAGATGAGAAACGAATTCCAGAGAAATTACTGTGGTAGCACGGTAAAATAGGTTCATTTTGGATTTCAATTTGAAAAATTCTTGTACTCCACAGAAAATTTTCCGGAAAGGGCACGGTAATTTTTCCGGATCCGTCCAGACAAACCTATTTTACCCTGCTGGCACAGTAATTTTTCTGGAATTTTTTTCTCCGTTTGATTGAGAATTTTCGAGCCTTGGTTGAGCGCTTGATAAGCTTTGTTTCCATCGTCAATTCCTACCTAGGTAGTCATGCCGCGAGACGCAAGAGAAACGAGACGAGACGAGACAAACGAGATGAGAGACATGACGAGACGAGACGAGAAGAGTCATTCGAGACAATGACAGAAACGAGACGAGACAAGAAGAGCCGGTCGAGAACGAGAGAAACGAGAGGCGAGACTGTGTATTTTTTTCCGTGCAAATTGGATTATAGAGACGAGATAACGCGAGACGAGTCGAGACGAGAGAATCTGAATTCTCGACGAGTCGAGAAAAGAAATTGCTCTCGTATTTCGATACGAGACGAGACGAGAAGATGCCGTTTCTCGTTTCGTCTCGTCTCGCGGCATCAATGTACCTGGGTAACCAGCACTTGGCCCAAACCTACCAGCTAAGCCTACTTCAGTGTTGATATTCGAGACTCCACCTGAATTCAGCCCGAATTTGGTAACCAAACGCCGCAGTGCGGGCAAAATAGTACCATCATACGCGAAGTCAAACTCGCTCGATAGTGATTTTCCCTCCTCGGTAATTACGATCATTACTCTAAAAAGTTTTTCTCGCTGAGGTGTCAACACAAGAAGAAACCCATACGTACAAGTGTTGTATATCAACCTAGGATCTTCACACCCTCATTTACACGTATTCAAACCAATGGCATAATCCTATCGAATCGCTAATACCTGGTGTGCATGTATAACCGATGCCATTCTCGAGTACGCTCAAACGATTAATTATCACGAGCTTAACAAGCCAGTTTGGCTCGTGAGGTGTCGGAGGAGCTTTGAAAAGTTTTATCCTTCCCCACTCCCTGAACCGCTCGCAACTTTTCTAAAGACCCCCATTCGGGCCATTCTTCCTAGGATTATTTTAATATCGAATAATCTTGAATAGCCGAAAGGGGGATCGACAATCCTCGGCAGAAAGCTTCAGATGATAGAGGATTGAAAGGTTGGGTCCTTAGATGAAGAATTCATTTAAAAAAAACCTCCATTAAATTCTTTTCCTCTGTTTCTGTTCTCTCCCTCCCCCAACTTCCGCTCTTATAGAGTGACTTTCTCATTCAACTCAGACCAACCAATTTGAAATTGAAATCATCCAGCAGATGGCCATCTGGCGAACCGAGGAATCGAGGAACATGAATTTTTTTTAAATCGATGATGAATCTTTTTTTTTCATTTCTCATTCATTTTCAATTGTATAGTAAAACTCAACTACATTCTTTTTTAAACGCTTATGCGCAGTTCCGATGTTATGGATGACTGAAACGTCACTGCAGAACGAGCCCTACAGTCGAAGGTACACACGTCAATGATTGGTTTATATATTCACAACTCTATGGAGAACTGTCAAAGAGATAAAATAATGCATTTTTTCGCAATAAACAACAAGAATCCCCAAAGATATTGCCGAATATTGCGTATAATTGTGTCTACACCCCACCCCTCAACCCTTGGGGCACTCAATTATGAACATGATAGTTATTGATTTCAGTCTCGAAAAGTTGATGACATTTCATCCATCCCTTTCAAAATCTCAGTCAATCGAAAAATTACCAGACAACCGCTCCTGTCCATTCCAATCAATAAACTCTCTACCTGCTGAACATCTATTTTTTTTCAAGTGAATTCATCAAAATCTGAAACGAGTCACTCACCTGCGCCTGACATGTTAGCATTCCAAATACGAATAGTAGTGCGTTGAGCATAATTGTGCTTCTCATATTCCCAATAAAAAATTGAATTTTTTTCACTCAATGATATTTGCCGAAAAAAAAAATCGCAAACACGGGACACTGGAGTGCCCTTTCACTCCGGTGGGCGTTACTTCACCAAACTTTTTTTTCTTATTCTGGTTGTCTCAATGAAAACTATCGGATACGATGGAAACGTCAATAACTAAGAATAAAAAAATCACTGTAAAGCACAATTAACTAGCACCGAGCGCTATGAGAAAAGAAAAACAAAAATCAAATCGAATAATGTTTTAAACTATGTTCGGTAGACTTTTATTATACGTATTTATTATACGTTACTATCGAAAACGTTAATTTCCTGTATTAAGCAGACGACGAAACGGGTCGCCTTAACGATCGCCGCGTTGACACTACTGGTATGGTGCTCCTCTGCATTCGCTGGGTGGGTCGCTCGATTTACAGTTCATAGATGGGGAAAGGTGAAACGTGGGGTGCGGGTAACGTTCAAGATGGCGTACAACAATCTACAGTGTGGTTCGGCTGAAGCCAGCATTCTGTAGAGGGGACTCTACAGGAGCTAGTTTCACCAATCGTTGGATCTTCTGGATGGCATGACGGGGGCGGCTGCGTCATGCACCTGCGCAGTTTGATTAGTCGATAACATCGCGGGAAGTCTCATGTTTTGAATAACAAAAGGATTGTTGTTTCCAGTTCTTCCCCCTTACATCATCAGGGATTCCATCAATGATCAGGCACGAATTGGTCCTCAAAATTTTCCATGTTTCCGATTTCTTAACACGCTGTGATGCACATTTTTTTACGAAGTTGCTATTGACTTTTGAAATTAAATCATTTTTACCAAACAGGAGCGAAAATTAGTTTTGCCGTGGAAGAAACTAATATAGTTCCTATCAGAGCTAATGTCTTGACAACTTATCAGCATCAAAATCTCAAACATTGAAGATATCCTGATAGGTCCATGACTGTTTAACATAAAACAATTTCAACACAAAACAAATTCTGCATATAACCAATTCAACAATAAACTAATCAACAGACAGCAAATAATGTAACTTTTTTCTCTATGCACCATCTCGTCTTATATCAATTTGTCCAGAATTTCCATTTACAATCCGTTGATCGCGCCGTAAGCACCGCGCCGCACCAGCATTCATCGACATAATTATAAATTTGAAAGATCTAGGAAAAATCTGAAAAGAATCAAGAGGGATCTAGATCATATACTTGGAGAAGTCCCATGAGATTATCTTTCAAGCTCAAAGTTTCCATGTTTTTCAGAAAATTTACCTTATACTGGTACACGGTTCGGAGTTTCAGAATAAAAATTTGACAATCTAACTACTTATGAGATTTTTGACGGATATATTCTCTGTTAGGGTTTCTAAACACTACAAAATGAGATGTCAATTTTTTTGAAATTTTTCTGAGGCTTTACTGCAGTGTAATTTAAAAAAAAGGAAAAAGTGCAGCACGGCGCTCATAGCGCAACCAACGAAGTGTTAAAAAAATAAATTCAAAAACTAAAAGACAGCTTTGCACACCTACATATGTGCAGATAGTTATTTTGCACATCTGATTCTACACGCTGTCATTCTACGCCTACACTTTGGTTTTTTCACGGAAAAAACAGAATTTTTTACACGTCATGTTTTGCACAAAATAGAACGACACACAACAGTTTGTTCCACATGCTTTTCTTTAGCAGTGACACATCGACGAATTACACACTTGTAAATTACACTGAGCTTTCAAGACAGGTTGAATTTATACATGATTATTAGCGCGAAAATAAACATAATGTGAGCTACATGTTTTGTATTGGGGTGTCGGTGTTATTAGACTTAGTGTAGATGAGCCTGTGAAGAGTTGACCAGGTAAGAAATGCCAGTGTTGGACAAACAGGTCAAGTGCAGCACAAGCCTGGACTTGCCAAGCCTTGGCGCCCAAGCTTCTTCATTAAGCTCCAGCCATTGGTGTAATTGTGAAGGCTAAGTCGTAAGGGTCAAATAATGAGAATGGAATCATAGGGGTGAAATCATAAAGGGGAAGTCTGATGAGGAAAACTGCAAGGGTTAAATCGTAATAACGGAAAGGAGCGAAAAAATCATAAGTAGGTAGCATCGTGAGTGTTGAATACTAAGGGTAGGATCTTAAGTTAAAAATTTTCAGGGTGTAATCGTAAAGATAAAGTAGTCAAGGTGGCATTGTCGACATTGAAATCACATGTTATTCACTAATTATCATGAAGAGAAGAAGAATCGTCATTGTTATAATTTTTTTATTGCTATAATTATCATTATGATTATTCATAATTGAATTAATTTACCGATTAAACCATAGTGGAATCACTTAATATCTCTATGACTTGATAAATAAAGCGATCAAGTGGAAAAAAACCGAGGCGAAATTAATATGAACAATTCAAAGGAGAGATTTTACTAATTGCGCGGACAGAGAAAAAAAAATATAAACTCAATATTTTTTTTCTAGATTCTGGAATCCGCAGTTTAGAATTTGCATCCGGCTAAAACCTAGAAAAAAAATTGATTTTAAAAAATAAATAAATGAAATTAATCAACCAAAAAATGATGGTTTCAAGGCAAAAATATTCTAGAATCTATCGAATTAGGGAATTGAGTTCCCCTCATCAGCACATTTTCAAAATGAAAAGCATTTTGGAAATTTTGAATTGAATCTTTGAAAAAATGGAAAAAAAATGTTCTAAAAGGTTGGGCTCAGATGATTCAGCATCATCTGAAACGTGCAGATTCATTATCCCCTAAAGAAACTTTTTTTTTTTACTTTTTGTCTCAATTTCAAATTTCCAAATTCCCTTTAAAAAATAAAAAATAAATGTCCTCAAAAGTTGGGTTCAGATGATTCAGAATCATCTGAAACGTGCAGATTCACTATCCTCTAAAGTGGACAATTCTTAAAAAGAAAAATATTTCAAAAAATGCAAATTTAGAATCGAAGTTTCTAGAATCTAGTAAAAAGATACATGGAATTTATCGGAAGAATTTGCAATTCAAGAAAAAAATGGATGAAAACAAAAATAATACGGATCATTTCTAGAATTTTTTCTATAAAAATACTTCGATATGATGGTTGAGTTTATCATTCTTCGAAGGATAAATTCAACCATGATGAATTGATCAATTTCATGATTTTTTTTCTCTGTGCGATACGCTAGTGTTTAGGGATGTCAAAAACCAAATTACCACTTTTACTAGCTAATTTCTGGTCTCCATCAAACAAAAAGAAATGTCACAGCCACAACCTACCTCAAAAGACAAGATTTATATTTTATACATTAAACAAATCAATCTGAAACACGGAGCGACCATATGTCCATATATATTCTCCAGTTATCTCCTTAAACTTAGTTTAACTACGTTTTCTCATGTTTTTTCAGTAGACATTAGGACCACTAATTTAATTACATGTGTACAAACATTTGGCTGAAAAAACATGTTTTACAAAAAAAAAAAGTGGTTATGATGCCGGCTTAGTAATCGTGAAGTTGTGAGTTCTAGCCCAAGTCAGGGTGATATTTCAAGTCAACAAAATCGGCCTTTCAGCGATGATTGCGTGAGGGTTTGATAGGTAGGGTTCAATTAATGGTAAAAATCATCCTTAAAAGAGTTAATTATTTTGTTTTTTATTATTATTGATAATTGTCATGAATAGTTTGGCAGCTAGCCCCGTGCCAGTCGCATGCCTGTATTGATTTTTTTTTCTCCTTGAACCTGTCACGAATGCTCAGGAGTAATATTGAATTACTTGTATTTCAATCACTCATATCATATTTATGTAATTAAATAATGATTAATTGAGCCTGGCCAAGGACTGACAACTAGCACTGGGTCGAGATCTGCGCCCAGACGTAGGTCCATGTTATCATTCTACGTTTCAACCACGTCCAGCGCGGTCTCGGTTGAGAAACGGGCCCCGAACTCAGGCAGCCCGGCCGCCATGTTCGGACCGAGCCCGACCTGTTCGTTTTTCCCTATCTGGGATGTGTAGTTCTCTTGGGTATAAAATAATGTGTGCGCAGAAAATGATGTTAGCATATAAGAAAACAATCTGCCCACCTCAAAAAATCAACCTGAATCAAGTCCAAAAATCGGTTTGAATCCAATCGACCTAATCATGTCGTCTCGACGGCATGAATCAAGTCTGACTCAGAGAGGTGCAAATTGGTCTGATGTAACCCGACTAGAATTTATGTAGGGCATGCCGGATCTAGCCTCCACCGAATTCGGCGCGAGTCTCGTTTTTCGTTAGGCATGCCGAATAGGGTATACCTCATCTGGCTCTCATAAGGCCCAGATAAGGCATACCAAATCTGGCTTCACCGCATCTCCACCGAATTCGGTGCGAGCCTCGTGTATTGTCAGGCATGCCGAATAGGGTATATATAGGCATGCTGATATATTCGGTATATTCGATATATTCGATATATGCCGGATATATTCGGCTTGCAGGCATACCGAATAGGGTATATGATAGATATTATAACTCATGTGGTTCTCATAAGACCCAGATAAAGCATACCCCATCTGGCCAGCCGACCCCAACTTAGACAAATTGGAAGAATATTCTTCTCATCATAGACCCCCCCCCCCTTCAATTTGTTTTAGGGTCAGTCGGCCATTAGGATTGCACATTCCTCCCATGTAACCGAGATAATTGCCTTACTTTTTTTTTTGCTAATTCACCCTCAGTATCCGTCTATACTCATCATTATATTCTTCATTGACCTCACTTGATCCTCGAGATTCTATTTTTCAACCCTTCAGCTTGACCCTTATGATCGTTCGACCTTCATGATCGTTCGACCCTCGAATAGGGTGATCTCATCATTTGTGTACCATCTTAGGACTAGTGGACACTGATAAAATCCTAGCCGATCGCCGAATGTCTACCGAACGTCTGCCGAAAGTAGGAGGGGGAGAGGGGGGGGGGTAAATTCATAATTGGTCATATCAAACTATTTAAATGTTGAAAAACATGATGAAAATATGTATGTGCAGGCGACCGTGGTTTATATAGACAATACGAATTTCAAAATGCACGAATAGCGCGGTAGGCTAGTTGGCTAAGGCGTAGGATTAGTAATCTGTGGTTCCCGGGTTCGAAACCAGTCATGGATGGAATATTTTAGGTTAAAAAAAATCGGTTTCTCAGCGATAAATACGTTAGGGAGTCAAGAGTGATAAATAACAGATAACCAATTTTGATAGCATATAATTATTTTCTTTTTTTCACATTATTAAGAATGATCGTGGATAGTCAAATCATCCATGTGTACATATATATGAAATTATTGAACCGGTGTTTCATTAAAAAATTTCCGGAACAATTTTGAGAGTGGCGATTGAATGAGCAATAATTGATGATAAATTACCAATAAGATTAATAATAATTTTAATTGGCCCCTACGACT